GCTGCCGTCTTTTCACAAAGGGCTACAGAAACAGAGTTGGAAGGCTCGTCTGACAGAAGTCTCAACAGTGAACGACGGAATCTGTGTCTTAGGTAGGCCTAGGTTGCATCTCCAAATTTTAGAATATGTCACCCAGAACCATCAGCTAAAGAACAGGGATTGCTATTACTTATATCACACACTCTAATTCAGACTTTTGAATATTATCTAATTCAAAAATCCTTCCCCTTCCCCCTCCCCCCCCCCCCCCCATGGTTCTGGGGCTTGAACTCAGGGCCTGGGCGCTGTCCTTGAGCTTCTGTGTGCTCAAGGCTAGAGTTCTACCACTTGAGCCACAGTGCCACTTCTGGCCTTTTCTAGTTTATTGGAGATAAGAGTCTCACCAACCTCAAGCCTCAGATCTCAGCCTCCTGAGTAGCTAGGATTTCAGGTGTGAGCCACTGGCGCCATACTAAAAATCCTTCATCTTAAAGACCTGAAAACTGAGACTTAGCAAAAGAAGTAACTTGCTCAAATTCCCATGACACAGAGCTAGGACTAGGGTTTGAGCCTCCACGTTTGCAAGCTTGAAATTTATTCATAATTAAAATGAATAACATCTTGGAACAGAACCAGGAAGTAAAGGCTACCAAAAAAAATCAATGAAAACAGCAAACATTCCTTCATTACCCTCTCTGTAGTTTTTTAGATGTTAAGTAAATTACAATCTTCTTGAACCAGTAGGGAAATACTGAATAAAAAAGCATGTCTGGCAAAAGGTTGCCCTAAACGTTCTCTTTTCTACATATTTTGAGTAATAATAAGACCCATAGTTTGAAAATAGACTGACCCTAACCCCATTGTCTTCATGTGTGGAAACGTAGCAAGATGATGAGGAGTTGTTAGTACATACCCATGTCAAGAACCGCCATTTTGAGCCTCTCAAGCTCCTACCCAACCCATGCTTATTAGGAGGCCCTCCTCTTTCTCTTCTCTCTTTGTCTCTACTTTATCTTATTTTGCCAAAGAAATCCTCACTAAGCTTCAAACTTAATTAATTGATTAATTAATTAATACCATCTTAAGCTCAGGGACTGGAATTTCCCATCCACCAGGACTTGGTGTTTGTAACTCTCCTGGGTAATTAGTTAAGGGATTTCCAAGCTTTTCTATGCCTTAATTCCAGGACCAAAAATCCTAGAGGGAGGCAGGGGTTGGGAGTTGAAGGGAATCTGAGAGACAGACCACAATGAACTTTGAGACCTTTGGTGGACGACTTGGAAGAAATGTTGGCTCAGAGAGACAGTCACAGAAAAAGGAAGAAGGAGAAGAGAAATAACCTGCCAAAGATTTAGGCAACATGATTCCTCTCCTATGGAGAGAAAGAATTTAGGATTGCTGTGTCTACTGAAAATGACTTACAAAGAGAACCTTTGGGAAGTAGTTTTGATTGGAAAGCATGAAAGGTCAGAATAATGATGAGCATTCTCCACTGAGGCTGCCAGCATTCTGTTTGCCCTGCAAACAACTGGCCAGTCTCCAATCTATGTTTGATTCTGGTAATTATGATGAATTAAGCATGAATTTATCCTGCCAAGTCATATTCCCCTCTCCCCCCCCCTCTTCCTCCCTCCTTCCATGTCTGCCTGCTTGTCTGTCTGTCTGTCTGTCTGTCTGTCTGTCTCTCTCTCTCTCTCTCTCTCTCTCTCACATGATCCTCCTGCTTCAGCCTCCCAAGTCATCTTTACACTAAGCTCCAAGTCATTTTCTTTCAAGACAACTCAGATAGACATATATTGTAAGGAAAAGGGTTTTCCATTTTACCTTCGCAACCCTAGGACCAACTCCAAGCCTAGAACATATTAGGTCAAAGCAAATTTAACAGTGACGGGTCCCCACCTGCATGGCTTTTTCTAATGTACAAGAAAGGGAACCCTTGAGATGTATGTGTTCACTAGCCCTATGGGTTTCTAAAATTTGTAAAAGCAAAAGTTTTAGCCACCATTTACCATGAGTTCTGTTTTTCTATTTCCTATCTCTAAATCTTCACAGCAGATGAAATTAGAAAGACCATGAGAGCTTCTAGGATTTGGCTAAGAGGAAGTTGAGCCAAAATAAGTTTTGTTTGAAGCATCGGGATATATTTATGTGACCTGAGATCTTAGGCTATCTGTGCATAGTTGATTTATCCCTATCTATCTAGATATAATTGTGGCTCCTAGAAGTCCTTCTACCATGACTATGCCAACTCATTCAAGATCATAACCTTGAGATTCGGTACCAGAGGTAGGATTGTGAAGCCAATATGTCTTCCAGCCTAGTTGCTGAAGAAACAAGATTTGAAATGTATGGAGCTATCCTGGGAAGATTTGGTAATCATCAGATATGCAAAATTGCCAAACAAGATTTGATGGATGCCCTGGCAAAATGAAGGATATTTTCCCCCTATGAATGTAATTAATAATGAAGCACAATTACAAATGTACCACATTTTTGTGTGTGTTTGCCAGTAACCAAGATTGAAGTCACTCTTGCTTGGCTTTTTTGCTCAAGGTTGATGCTCCACCAACTGATCCACAGCTCCATTTCTGCTTTTCTTTTTTTTTTCTTTTTTCTTTTTTTTTAGGGGGTCCGGTCGTGGGCCTGAACTCTGGGCCTGGGCACTGTCCCTCTGCTCTTCAGCTCAAGGCTAGTACTCTACCACTGGAGCCACAGCGCCATTTCCGGCTTTTCTCTTTTTGCTTATGTGGTGCTGAGGAATCGAACCCAGGGCCTCAGGCATGCAAGGCAAGCACTCTACTATTGAGCCACCTTCCTAGCCCCATTTCTGCTTTTCTTGTGGTTAATTGGAGGTAAGAGTCTCTTGGACTTTTCTGCCAGGGCTGGCTTTGAATCTCAGTCCCAAATCTCAGCCTCCTGAGTAACTAGACTTACAGGCATGAGTCACTAGCATTTTCAAAGTTTTGTAGTGATTATGATTGGTAGAATTGATCAGAACTCCTCTGTCTGCAGAATGTAGGTCTCTAGCAGTATGACAGGCTTGTGTGAAGTATAGTGCATTCCAGCTAGCAGTAACAACCAACAAACTTGGGGTAATTCAAACCGGAGTGATGGTTAAATTATCTTTTCTCCTCTCTACAAAACAAGCAACTAAAGAATATGAAGTCATAAAATACAGGAAGGAGGGGAGAAGTATGGGTGACTGTCAGAAATAAGTAATATTGTCTTGCCAGCTTTTAGAATTTATGGTATTTGTGGTCTTTATCTGCCTTTTGAAACTGATTCTGGCTTTTTTGTTAGTTAGTTTGTTTTTTGGCTTGTCCTGGCTTGAACTCTGGGCTTAGGTGCTGTCCCTGAGCTTCTTTTTGCTCAAAGCTAACACTCTACCACTTGAGCCACAGCTCCACTTCCAGCTTATTCTTGTTCTTTCAGCTTATTACTTGGAGATAACAGTCTCATGGACTTTCTTGCCCAGCTGGCTTTGAACCATGATCCTCAGATCTGAGCCATGAGCCACCAGCCACTGGCTTCTGACTATTTTTTTTATTAAAACAAACATTTTTGTATATGATTTTATATTTGTAAATTTCTTTTTATCTCTGTGCTAGTGCTGGGGTTTGAAGTCAGATCCCTTAGCTTCTGCACTCCAGGCTAGCACTCTGCCTCTCGAACCACAGCTCTATTTCTGGCTTTTTGGTGGTTAATTGGAGAGTTTCCTTCCTAGGATGGCTTCAAACCACAATCCTCAAATCTCAGCCTCATGAGTAGCCAGAAGTACAAGCGTGAGCCATCAGTGCCTGGCTATTCATAATTTCCTGTTCTCTTCCTTAAAGAGGAAGTCAAAAACTATTGTAAGCTTCAAGCTACACAAAACTTAGACCTGACCTTGGATTAGGTGCTAAGTAAATACTAGAGGCAGCAGGCACTAGACAAGCAGGTTTGGTATAAGGGAGGTCAATAGGAAAGTTTAAGAGAACCAGTAGAGAGGAATTTCCTGAGAATGTGGTAATTATTTTGCCTATTGTTGAGTGAGGTGCTAGAGATTGAAGTGAGTCAGAGAATGGTGATCAGGACAGGGAAGAGGGAAGTCATGGGGATGAGATGGAGAGATACTGGTACCAGGCTTCACAATTCTCCCCAGGCCATCCCCAGAGTCAAAAGACTTCATTCATTCCAGGTTGATTTTTAGCTGTCCACCAATGCATATGCAGGCCTTGATGCATTGAAAGAATAAATGGCATCCCACTGACAGCAAGTGATCATCTCAATGACAGTGGAATGAAGGTGGGGGGGGGCAGGGCACATGTGTGCACACAGGTCCCAAATCACTGTATCTGGATCTGTGCGTGTCTGTTGTTGGGTTTTCCCAGAGCAGATTTCTTTTTCCCCACTTTATCCTTGCCCTGGGCATTTATTTGGCTTAAGTAGAGTTAATCAGAGCTCTCCCCTGGAACTTTAAAATGTGAGACTGACTACCCAAAGAAGTACTAAGTGCTTAGACATCCAGCAACCCTGACTGTGGTCATGTTGTAAATAAGGTTGCTTTTTAATTTTGTATCAGTTTGACTATGTTAAGAGGTTTAATCTTACAAGTTAATAAAGAATACATTTCTCTTGCCAGGCATGGCGGGTCAAACATGTAACCCCCCGCTATTTGGAAGTTGGAGATCAGGAGAGAGGATACTCTCAATCAGTAAACTAGGTGTGGTGGCAGCACATGAATGTGATCTCGGCAATTTAAGAAGCCATAGGTAGGAAGATCAAAATCCATGGCTGGCCCTGGACAAAAATGTGAGAGAGAGGAACACAGTTTTTTCCAAGCGAATTAGATTTGTGTCACTTTCACACCAGCCCACTCACTAACATAGCTCATGAGTATCTAGCTGAGCTACACCTCGAACCCTGGCCCTGGCTCCTCACCTTGTAACCAGCTTTCCATTTCCCCAGCTGCAGGCCAGCACACCTGTGGATACCCTAACAGGGGAAAAAAATCCAAATCCACACGGAGCAGTTTTACTTACCGAACCCCTAAAAACACTTGCAGGAGAGTGCAGATGCCAGAGACGAAGAAAATGGTGCTGATGAGGTAGCTCTGGGTCAGGGGGTCATGCTGCAGGCACAGGTCCTTGGCCAGAATAAGCGGCACAGCCACGAGGCCTCCCAGGGCCGTGAGGAAGTGCTGTGGGCAGAGAGCGGGAGCCGATGGGCCAGGCTGCACTGACATCCACCCACAGCCAGAGCCCTACAGCTGACCCCAGGGTCTCAGCCAGGGGCGACAGGCAAAGATCCAGGCAGGTAGTGAACACTAGGAGTTCCTGGAAGCAGGAAGCTGGGATCCAGCCAGAGGGCAGGCTCTGGGTCCTGAGAGCAGACATGCTGGGAGAGGAACCAACACAAGGACTCAAGCACAGAAGGGCGTAACAGGACCTAGATGGGGATGCAAGGCCAATAAGCTATTTATTAAATGAAGCACACAGAGAAAGCAGCCATTGGCAAAGAAGGTCTGGGCATGAGTTGGAGTTGCTGGCCAAACAAAGGCTAGTTGAGCTCTGCACTGACAAGTTAGGGAATTCAGAACAGCTACAAAGGGGATAAATTAGATATAGGTAATAGTTAAGGGACAGGAGAGGGAGAGAGAGAGAGAGAGAGAGAGAGAGAGAGAGAGAGAGAGAGAGGATACTATCACACTCTGACTCCAGAGCAAGAAGCAATGACTGACTAAGTCTTGGAAATGTTCATGCACTATGGCCAATTCTGTTCTGGACCGCTCACACTATCCAGTATGCGGCCCAGTCAAATCTGGCAACTGAGCCACAAGTTCTGAGAACAAAGATGGGAGCAGCTGAGCCAAATGGTCTCCACCCTCCCCCTGGGGAAGTGGTTCATGACCTGAGCATCTTTAGACCTTGTCCAGAGCTTGTTAAAGCCCTGTTACAGATACGCTTTTGTTGTAAGCAACTTTTCAAAGCTTACTTTTCCTTTCAATGTGCTTAGATGTTGGGGACTTTAACCTTCCCTCTTTAACTGACAGCTGGTAGACTCTTCCCCGAAACCCTCCAACCCTGGGGCCTTAAGCAAAGGACAGCCAGCCCCAGCTGCTCTGAACACAAAGCATGACTCCAGCCAGCTCCTGAAGGCACTGTCCAGCAAGCAACTTGCCCCAGACTTTCACCATTATTCAGCCACTTCCACTTCCAGACCAGAGGGGGCGCACTTCCTTTCCCTGGGGACCAAGCAGAAAACCCATGACTGATGTAAATGCCATCCTTCAATTGCATGGCAGGGCTTCCCTGATGGGTACAGACACCTCCTTGTCACTGGCCCTTCTGGCTATACCAGCAGCCTGCTCAGGTCACTTTGTGAGCAACAAGGAGTAGGCCTCTTGTGCTGATGCAGCAAGTCCAATAGAAACTTCTCGAATAGTCTGCCTACTTTGGATTCTCATCAGTCAAGGGGCAGTTGAGCTGATAACATGAAGAAGAGAAGAGGTGATGGGAGGAGGAGGAGGGATGGTAGGAGCCTCTCGCTGGCAGCACTGGCTGGCAACCGGTTCTTGATGTGGCAGTAGCATCTGGCCCATAGCAGTGGAACTGACAAGACCCCTTTCCTGCTGTGGCCTGAGACACAGAAGAGCTGTAACACCTCAGACCTGTGGCTTAATCCCCCAGGACCCATAACCCCACGCCTCTGACCAGCTGTCAAAGGTCTCAGCCAGGTGCCCCATGCCACGGAAAGGGCGAGCTGTCCAAGGCCCAGGTTGACTGCCACTGCCTGCTACTTGCGAACACCTGCCAAGGGCTGGAAAGGAGCCTCTCCTCGCCTACCCCCTCACTTCTATCTGGGCGCAGCAGAAAGGCCCCAGATGGCTGGCATCCCATGGTGACAGAGCCACTGCCCCCCTCCTTTGTTCTATTACAGCCCGTTCTCTGGTAACTTAGGTCGTGTCTGTCTGGAACTACACACAGCTTCCTGTTTCTAGTGCTGATAGCATTCCTGATACTCAGACATCCAGAGTGGCGAATGCTACGCAGGCAAGTTTACATGGCTGGGGAGGCTTTTCCATCTTACCCTATAAGAACATAGTGAAAATCGAGCCAGGGTAGGCAGGTGTGGTTTGCCTTGGTTAACTAACTGCTGGATCTGTGAACACTACACAATGGGAAGGAGGGAAGAAGAAAGGGAGAGTGGGGAGGAGGAAGGAGAGAAAGAAGAAAGAGAGGGAGGAGGGTGAAGCAGGGAAGGGGCACAGGAATGAAGGAAGAGTAAGAAATGCAGTCATTACATTCAGAATAAAAACAATGAACTGTGTAACTTAAGGGTAAGGACAGGAGGTGGAAGATGGGGAGAACAAATGAAGGAGTAACACTGACCCAGAGCATTGTACTCATAGCCTGACCTGTGAACTTTTAACTCCTTTGCGCAACTATTTATGTTGAACAGTATTTCTTTGTAAATGAAGGTCATAGGAATGGGGACTTTGGTTGATCCAACACTGACTTTCAAAAAAACAAAACAAAAAAAAATGAGTAGTTGCTTCGGGGCTGGGAAGCTGGCTCAGTGGTAGAGCGCTTGCTTTGCACTCATGAGGCCCTGGATTCAATTCCTCAGCACCACATAAGCAAAAAGAAAAAAGCCAGAAGTGGCGCTGTGGTTCAAGTGGTAGAGCACTAGCCTTGAGCTGAAGAGCTGAGGGACAGCGCCCAGGCCCAGAGTTCAGGCCCCATGACCGGACCCAAAAAACAAAACAAAACAAAAACATTGACTTTCTTCATTACTGCAGCATTTATCTGACTATGTGACTGGGTAACAAAGGAGATTTTTCTCATTTAATACTAAAAATTATATGATGTTTTGCAAAAAAAACTACTTATAATAACAATAAAATGTTTTTAAGAGGGGTGGGCGGCCTGGGAAGGTAGTTCAGTGGTAGAGTGCTTGCCTAGCATGCATGAAGCCCTGAGTTTGATTCCTCAGGACCACATAAACAGAAAAGGCCAGAAGTGGTGTTGTGGCTCAAGTGGTACAGTGCTAGCCTTGAGCAAAAGAAGCTCAGGCTCAGTGCCCAAGCCCTTAGTTCAAGCCCCAGGACTGACAAAAAAAAAAAAAAATGCCAGGTACTGGTGGCTCATGCCTGTAATCCTACCTACTCAGGAGGCTGGAAGAAAGAAAGTTAGGATTGAAATAAATGGTGAAGAAAGAAATAGAAGTGAAATTAACAGCTGGTCTTTTATTATGGGGTAATTCCAGCTCCTATCACCACATTACCGCACATTTCAAAGGCACCATCAAACAACAGATATTTACTGATGTTAATCCCTTGAGAGAATGTTCTGGAAAAATCTGACCAGTAAGGCCAGCCCTGATCTTTGATAAGCAAGGAGTAGAGGGCATGAGATATGTGTTGGAGCCAGGGGAGACTTTGAATTTCCTCTAAAAGATAGTCACTTTTTGTCCTTTGATGGCTCCGAGAAACAAACCTTTCAGAGAAAAAGGGCCTATGTATTTGTGACCCTCTGACAATGTTTCCATTGCCTCTGTATCTCCTTGTGGCAAATAACATGAATTCAGTTCTTTATAGTCTCTCCTAAATGCTTCTTTGAACCTGCTGCAGGTTGATTCAGGACACAATATTCCCAAGGCCAAGAATCTACCAATGTTTTATTTCCTATCTCATACTCTGCCCAGAAACATTGCTAATTAGACTTAATGAAGGCTCACACCCTCCTGTTAACAAATGAATCTCTTGATCTTAAAGAACAGGACACATTTGGAGGCATTTGAAAGAGAAGCTGCCAAGGACGGGGCCTGCTCCCAGGAATGTACTTGGCCTACTATCTTGGGTTTCCCAAGTGCACTTAACAAAGCCAGTGATCACACTCAAGAGAACAGTGGAGCAAGATCTGGGGGTGCACACCTGTAATTCCAACTACCAGAAGTGGAGGCAGAAGGATCTTCAGTTTGAGGCCAGTCCAGACAAAACCAGTGAGACCCTATCTCAAACACAGTAATTGTTAGCAAGTATGAGAACCTAGGTTCAGTCCCCAATGTGAGAGCTAGGAAGGGAGGGAGGGAAGGAAGGAGAGTGAGCCAATCACTGTCTTTGATGTGACAGGTCAACTCAGCACAAGGGGGAATTCTTTTCTGATCATTAATGCAAATGCTTAAAGAGAAAGAGACCGAAAGGCTTGGTTCCTTTGGAGCGCAACATGAAGATACAGTAGCAACCGATGGTGTTGGCGTTGACTAATTTGATCTGCGGTTTTTGAGGCAGAGCCTCTTTGACCCAGTGCTTGATGGTATAATTACCTGGATCCCCAGTAAGATGCAGAGGTACCACGGTGGGATGTCCAAGACGTGGTAGGCCAGATGGCTACTGCTGGGATTGCCAGGCTGGCCATCCCCCTCCCTGACTTGGCCTTCTTGGTGGGAGCCCAGCGTGCTGTTGTTGTCATCTCCCTGCTGGGGACAAGAATGAACACATCTAGGCACTTCCAGAAGGATCAAGTCTCCTTCCTGATTTCAGCTGGAGAAGGACCTGAGGCTATGGGAAGAGAGGACTGTGATCAAGCTACGGAGTGAAGATCCACTCTCCGAAGACCAGTGATTTCCTGTGCTACGCATCTGCCTCTGAGCTTCCTTTGTTTAGCATCTGGAGCCATGAAAGAGGAGAGGGTGCCTTCTGCAAAGCCATGGCAGAGAGGTGGCTTTGTGGGGGAGGAGATGGAGGTCAGCCGCAGGGTCATAAGATGGTAGGCAGGGTTTCCTCTCAGTTCTTCCTATGTGCTCCAGGACAGACAGGCTGTATTTATACCTGCTAACATCCTCTTCCCACTCAGCGTGTGTTCACCAGCAGATAGTTTCCTGCTCTGTCTCTCTTCCCAGCATGCACTGATTGTGCCTTACTTTGCCTGGTAGTTCCGGTTCTGGTGTGGGCCTGAGCTCTATGTAGACTGAACGAATGAATGTCGTATATTAACGTAAATGAGCATCACATATACAGGATGATCTAGAGTCCATTGCCAACTTGCACTCCTCATAGGTTAACCACAATTCCCTTGGAATTATAGACTTCCCCTCCGACTTTTGAGCTGAGTAATCTTGGGCAAATTCAAATCATTAGTATTTCTGCCTCGATGTTCAATGCCTTAATTAAAGAAATGACACCGCTCTCAAAGACAGTGGAGAAAAATTCATTTGCAGCATGAAGGACATAGTCTAGGACTTGGCACAGTCTAATTGCCTAATAAATATTAATGATCATGATTACTGTGACTTTCATTAAAGGCCACTAGCATGAAGATCAGGTCATTCTAGGAGGTGTCTCATGGAGGGTGGGGTGGGATCCTGGGCATGGCCAGATCATGGAGGGCAGGTTCCATACAATGGTACAACCAGGACAGCCCAGAAAGCAGTATACAAGCAGGGAGAGAGTTCTAGCAAGGATGTTTGGTCATCCACTCCAACACCCACCTCCATGCTGAAGTATTGAACATCAGCCCAGCCTCATGGATCAGCTTCAGGACCACAGCTGCATTACAGCACAGCAGGTACTAAGTGCTTTGTGGGTAATTTATGGACTCTTTCCACTACGGAAAAAAAATACATCTAAGATTAGATTTCAGTAGAGTGCATGAATACAAAGATGAGTATAAGAACATTAAAACATTTTCTGTGCCCTTCAAACACTTCTTTTTTTTAAAAAAAATCTGGTTTTATGTATTTACTTTGCAATCCTGGGCATCACACCTAGAGTTTGCACCTACGGGACCCGGGACACACGCTGTACTACGGTGCCACACTGCCGTTCACTACCCGTGCTTTGTTGTTGTTGTGAGGTTTTTGTTTTGTTTTGTTTTGTTGCCAGTGTTAGGACTTGAACTCAGAGCCTGGGCTCTGTCCCTAAGCCTTTCTGTGCTCAAGGCTAGTGCTGTACCACTTGAGCTACAGTACCACTTCTAGCTTTTTATGAGAGGTTTATTTGGAGATAAGAGTCCGTGAGACTCTTATCTGCCTAGGCTGGCTTTGAACCACCATTCTCGGATCTCAACCTCCAGAGTAGCTAAGATGACAGGCGTGAGCCACAAGCCGCCAGCTTCCCCATCTTTTCTATTCAAAGAAGTGGAAACATCTGCATGGGCCTTGAACAGTGCTCTGGGCCGGGCACTGGGCCTGCTGTACCTAATGGATCCCTGGTGCTGCTCTGGAGGAGTGGGGAATGGAGCGAGGGCCACCAGTGGCTTAGATGTAGAAAGAGGCAAGAAAGTCACCAGATGAAAAACTGTGTGGTTGTCCCTGCCACTACTAGGACAGTGTGGTCCCCAGGGAATGCTACATAGTAGTCATCTTCCCCTCTCCCAAAAATCTCTAAGGTTTCAGTTACTGAAATCAACCCTAGCCTCAACATAGTAAATGGAAAAATCTCAGAAATAAACAATCTTCCTAAGTTTTAAGTTGTGAACTATTCCAAGGAGTGTGATGAAATCTTTGTCTGGAAGAGAATTCTGCCTTTGTTCAACATATGTAAGCTGTATATGCTGCCCTCTTGTTAGTCAGTAGCCACCTCAGTTACCAGCCCCACCATGTTGGATTTATAGGACTTATAGTTAAGTAACTATGTATTTATACTTATATATGTATCTATATGTACACATATATTTCAGTAATGTCTGAAGTTTCGGGCATCCACTTGCTGTCTTACAAAAAAGTTCCACAGATAAAGGAGAACTACTATTAGATTCTAAATCATGGTTTCTCAGCCTTTGGTGCTACTAATATGTTGAATAAATAATTCTTGCCAGGGACCAGTGGCTCATGCCTGTAATCCTAGCTACTCAGGAGGCTGAGATCTGAGTACTGTGGTTCAAAGCCAGCCTGGGCAAGAAAGGTTTGTGAGACTTTTGTCTCTAATTAACCACCTGAAAACCGGATATGGCTCTGCGGCTCAAGTGGTAGAGCACTCACCTTGAGTTCAAGCCCCATGACTGACAAATAAATAAATCAATCTTTTTCTGTGTTCTGTATGTGTAGCAGGGCCAGCCAGTGGCAGTCCCATGTACTATACTATGAAGAACATTAATGGTCTTTATTCACAGAATACCAGTAGTATATCTACTTCCTTCTTCTTAGTTATGACAAGCTATATTCTCCAGACACTGCCAAGTGACCCGTGCAGGAGGGGGAGGGGGTGTCAAATCACCTCCAATTAGGAGTCACTGTTGTTCCTCAACAAAGCCCTAATTCAGGGACAGTACTGGCTGGAGAAGATGAGGCTGTGATAGGGTGGGGTGGGCCTCACCCAGTAAGCCCACCGTAAACCATCCCCATTCCTACCTCCACCAGCCTGTGAGTCCACCTCCACTGACTATGGAGAAAGCCCAGCACGGCCCACTGAGGAGCGTCCTGGGCCGGTGCTAAGTCTTGCTAGTGCAGGGCTATTGCAGGGCTACTGATCTGACCCAGTGCAGCACTTACTCATTCATCTTCTGACATTAGGGCCTAAATCACAGTGTTAAGTTTGCTCTTGGAAGCCTTCCCTGAACTCACTCCACCCCAGCCTCACACCCCATGAGGCTTGCCCTCCTCAGGATCTCCTAAAACTCATGAGCAGGCTGACCACAGCATGAGACACTCAAACTCACCCACCATTCCTCTTCACTAGGACCCTGAACTCCCAGCCCGTCAGCTCTGTCCCTAGTATACAGTTGGCATTTCTTGAGGAAGTGAATCCATCAATGAGTGACTCCGGAGATGCTTTCTAGTTGTTCTTTTCCCAAATGAATCCCTATCTTTTACTGGTTGAACTGCTTTGGAACAACATGTCTGTCTTATTTAGACTTCATTTGGTACCCAGATTGCACACAAAAGGAGCCTGTTGGTCCTAAGAGGGTCAAAGCTGTATCTCAGACAGATTGGAAGCTACTGGTGGGTGGGTGTGCTATTGTGTGTGGGCTCTTCTAGTGAGGTTTTAGTGGTGTATGGAAAAATCTATGAGGGACGCCAGATGGAAGGCAAAGAGTAACACACAGAAAAGAGGAGCAGGGGGAGGGGGGGCGGGGTATGTGTGAGAGACAGGTTGAGTGATTGAAATTGGGAAGGCAACTTAGAAAATCCCATGTACAGAAGAGAAGTTGGGAAGCAGAGCTTCTCAGATGAGAGAGACCCCACTACAGTCATGCCAGTACCTCAGAGCATTTCAGCAAACCCTCTTCCTGGGAGTACCTGTCCATCAGACTCCTAGAGCAGCAGCAGAAGCTCATAAGCCCTTCCTAGAAGAAGAAAAAGAAATTCTTGCTAGGTGCCAGTGGCTCAAACCTGTAACTCTAGCTACTCAGGAAGCTGAGATCTGAGGATCCTACTTCAAAGCCAGCCAAGGGCAGAAAAGTCCATGAGACTCTTATCTCCAATTAGTTAATAAAAAACAAAAACAAAAAAAAACCCTGGAAGTGGAAGTATGGCTGAAGTCGTAGAGCACCAGCCTTGAGCAAAAGAAAAAAAGAGGCTAAGCAAAATCATAAGACCCCCAAGTTCAAGCCCCAATACTGGACCTCAATTAATTGATAAATTAATATAATAAATAACACCTGACAGTTTGCAAAGAATCGTCATTTCAGCATATCCTCTGGTTTGGGGCTCACCACCATCTTTGTCCATTGACAGAGGAGGAGACAGATGCTCAGCTAGTTAACAGGGTCTCTAGGGGGCAGTTGCGTGCCACTGTGGCCCTGGGTGTACAGGGCCAAGTCTCCAGCTCCTTGGAACAGACTAGCAAAGCAGGAGGGTCTTACACAGCAAGGGCACCTGCGATTAAAGGCTGGTGGGTGCCTTGCCCCTCTGTCACCATCTGAACCCCCATAGCACCATCTGGCCTAGGTAATTTCCTAACTTGCCCGTTTGCCAGGTTCTCCACGGGTAGCCTCAGTCATCTCCTCAGCTCGCGTGCTTGCCTTCTGCCCCTTCCCATTCAATCCCTACTAAAAAGGCAAGCACCTAGGTCCCCACATTCCCACCCCCTTCCATTTTGCCTCATGGTAGCCCCTGGGGAACACCATGGCCTTCCAGAAATGGAGTCTTCAACTTGATTCCCCGGATTTTTCCCTGCAGAAAGAATCTCAAGGTATGAAGATGTGGGCAAGGGGGGGGGGGGGGTTGGGGGGAGGTAAGGAGGGTGTCTTTTCTTCAGGGCCCTCACTTGCTCAGAGGACCGGACCATGCGCTGCACTCTTTGCTGGAAGGCTGAGCACACTGGGCAGAGCCTGGCAGTCCGCTGGCTGCAGAACACAGCGTGCTAGTCTAAGTAGCCCCTGTCTCTAGCCCCCTTGGCTGGCGCCTGGCTAGGGCTGCTGGAGGGAGGCTCTGTGCCCCTGTTGCGAGCAGTGGCAAGAACAGAATCTCGGCTCAGTTTTTTGGGGAGGTCGAAAATAGGTTGGAGAGGGTGATGGGGCCAG